ATGCCTACTACTTATATTTAGAACTAAATTGATTTTTATAAGAGCCTTATAACATTATTAGTTCTTTCTTATTTTTTTTAATTTGTAAGAAAACAACGATATTTTACAATTTTTATCATAAGATTTATGAAAAAAATTCATTCCATCTAGTACAGTACGTCAAAATAGCACGGGAACACAATAAGTGTAGTAAGCTTTAAGTCATAAGAAATTGGCAAACCTCATTCGATTATTCTTGTAAAAGTCGACTATTGTTTAATTTCTTAATGCTTAAAGCTTACTACACCTATTGTATTCCCGGTCTTAAGCGATTTAAAAAAAATGCATGGGTAACTTTAAGTGCTTAATACTTCGAAGCGTTTGCAGCGTACAATGGATCGCGTCCTTAGATATGTCAAAATTCTGCTAAAAAAATCTGCCTCTTTTTAAAATTGCAAAGAAAAGTCTATACTTTATGGTTACATACTGATATATCTATACTGATGGTTATCATGAAATTTACGAAGAAGAAAATTTATTCCATTCCGTAGGATATGTCAAATTGTGAAATGTTTTTGTCCGTTACCATTGACATCAGAATATGCGGCAATATTACTGAAATGTTTATAGCAATAGATAATTTTTTTCATATGCTGGCAAAATTCATTCTTTGTAAAGATCTTAATATCTTAATATTACATGCGGACGCATCTTAATGACCTTATAATGACGAAATATGTTTATCATTTCCGATGTATTTTTTTCAAAAATGTAACGCGGTAACCAAATTTAGACTAATGATTTGTGCTTAGCGGACAAAAATACATCGGAAATGACTATTCACATTCGTACAACAAAAAAGTTAAATTTTGTCGTTCGGTGTCATTCATCGGTACAACATGCATTTCTGTTAAAGAGAAGAGGAAAGCGTGATACATAGATACTAGAGCGAGCGAGACACCTATAGAGACAGCGCGGTGTCCCTATTGCTGTCTCGCTTATATTCTTTGCATTCAAGCGTTGAGTGAGTGAGACAGCTATTGAGGACACCACTAACAACTGTAACGTCTGCTGATGTTTTCTCTCTCGATCGGACGACGTGCAATAAGGATGCAACATCAAAATGTCTCCCACCACTTCCCCTACGTGCCTTTTTCGCTTCTCTCGCATTGTACGTGACGTACAGTACGCCCTCCGTATATGTCTGTTGTCGCTTTCGACTATTTGACAGGCGTATACGGGTCCGCCGAGGGATACCATACCTGCCTCTGAGTGTACATGCCCTTTTTACTATTTGGAACAAAATGCATATGAATATTTGTATACTAGCGTGTAGTTGTGTTTTATGACCGAAAATTCAAAAATTTTTCCCAATATATTTTTAAATAAACAGAAGAATATACGTAAAATTGTCCAAATAATGGGGATCCAAAGCTGTTTGACGATATTTGAAAAGAAATCACCGAAATTGTGAAAGGAAATTAAAAATAAGTATTCAACTTCCCAAGTATATTGACACAAGGATTAATCGATGAATCGCGAAGTGTATGCGCGTATCGCATTATTCGTCTTTGCGGGAGTGCGAACGTGCAAACGAACACAAGTGGCGTAAAAATATACATTGCTATACACCAGTTGCGTCAATAAATTAAAAAACTGCACTCAGAGAAATTATCCCATAAAAAATTAACAAATGGATATTTCCGACTAAAATATTAATGAATTTTTGTATCCGATCAGGAAACATCCGATGAGAAATGTCGGTTCATAATTTTTTGATCAGTTTATCTGATGAAATAGGATTATGATCGGAAATATCCGATAAAATTTAATCAGATATCCTCACTGGATGTAAAAATTGATCAGAATTTAATCGGAAATATCCATTTATTTATTTTTATCTGATAATTTCTCTTAATATAAACTGTAAAATATTGAATATAACGATGTTAGGCGTAAAATGATGCAAATGACGAGAATCTCATTAGTGAAACTCTCTAAAATATTCGGCCATTGGATTTAAATAAGATAAAAATAACTAGATTAGGAAAGAAACGGTAAGGTTACGCGAGACGTTATAAGTGACGCTAGCTTCCAGAGATAAGACTACTTTGAAAAAAATAATAATTCAGATATTTCAACACATTAGAATTTACCAAAGGTAAACAGTACTGTAATATTGTTACAGATGTGTATTAAAGATAAAGATAAGTAACATAATGATCTGCAGGAATATTAAAGTCTTACTCGAAGATTTCTTATGCTAAAGAGGCCTTCCCAAGCAGCAGAATGACGTCAAAAGATGTCATATTGACGTCATATTGACGTTGAAGACGTCATATTACCATCAATATAACGTCCTCTGACGTCACTTTGCCACTTGGTTAGAATCTAAAAAGCATTTTCTAAAAATAACTTGTATATTGCTCATCAAATTTTTATAATTTTTGTATTATTTTTATACTAAACGAAAGTCGTTAAACTGATTTGATACAATAATACGTCAAGGAATCAAAGGTTAACCCACCCCTAAATTTCTTAATCCTCGAACATTAAATTGTGCAGTATTTTTTAATTTTTAAACACTACACCGTGCGCGCTCTGCTTCTCCGCTTTATAACTCCATCATTATTCCGAATTTTAATTGTTTTCTTTACAGACATACTTTTAAAGCCTTGAATTTTAAGAAAATATAAAAAAATTCGAAAATTTCAAAGTTCTAGACCATAAAACTCCCAAGAACGACACTGATATTAATTAAAGCTTGACAAAGAATAACGAACTGTTCATTTTTTTAATATACGATTTATATCAGAAAACGTAGTATATATATGTTATTTCTACACGTATGCATGTATATAAACTAGGGAAGAGAGGAACTTTGAGAGAAGGCTGAGAAGATGTCGGACGTGAGGTCTTAATTGGATCATAATTCAGCGGCGTTCTTTCTTGCGTCGTATAATATCGTCGCTATTCCTTTCTAACCTCGCATATTTCTTGTGGTCTTCCCGTGTTCGAATGCAGATGCATAATCCCACAATAACGCAAAACTTCGCGTAATGTGTTTAAATAAGAGTTTTATGAAAATTAAATACGCAAAATAAAAAATAAAGTATAAACTAAAAAAAAAATCAGGGATTGGACTTTATTTTTACACAATAAAGTCATCGTAATTCCTCCATCGTATCCTGCGGAGGATATCCGACACGAAGTCGACGAACTTCCATATCCTATTATATCCCGAAACGCTCCTTGGAATTCCATTTCTCGGAGGAAGAGAAAGAGAGAAAGAAAGAAACATTTAACCGAACGTGTGCTGAAGAGGATACTCTATCTTGTTAGAGAAAGAAGAAATATCTGTTTCCAAGAATTTGTGTGGGAAAAAATATTGGGACACAATTAAAATGCACTTTTTTTATAAATATTTATTGACTTTTGTAGATTGTAATTTTTCAGAGTTGGGAACGTTATTTCAAAAAAGTAACTCATTATCGTTACTCGTTACTAATTTTAAAAAATAACTTGTTATCGTTATTGTTACTAAGAAAGTAACGGTTCATTATGTTTTCGTTACCTTTTTATAATACTAAAAAAATACGTAATTGACGTTTTAAAATTATTGTTTTTAAGCTTAAATTATTATTTGTAGTGTATAGCCACCCAGATAGCCAAACCTGTGCGAGCAGATTTTACGCAGAGTCTGTCAACAGTATCTGTTGACAGAATGGCAACAGATTGCACACAGAAACTGTTTTAGCAGTCTCTGACGACAGATTGGTGACAGACTGCGCGCAGAACCTGTCGACAGATTCTGACGACAAACTGACGGCAGATTGCGCGCAGATTCTGTTTCCTAGATAGGCTATTTAATTCTATTAAGGGCCATATGTACGTTATTAAATGGGGCAGTTTCACATACACACCATGCTGCAGAGAAGTCAAGATAATTATATTGTGCAATAATTGTACACATATACACAATAAAAAACAATGTTTATATTTTAAAATTGTATTACACATTTTTTATAAAAAAACAACAATAATAGAGAAATAACGAGTACAAGTATAGAATAGTACAACGGTTAAATGGCCATTTAAAGGCGTACACATGTCATTCCTGGTAAAAATTGTTCTCATAATTTTTCATACAATTTCTCATCTTATTATTTTTTTAAATGTTGTTATGTCATTAAATCCGATTTAACCGTCATGCAATAAGTATTGAAGGCAGCAGCACCGAATAAAATATTAGTCTCGCTATGTAAATAACTTTTACAGAATTTTTTTGATGGTTTATTTAAAAATATATCATGCTTCGATTTTGATAAAACTTAATACAATCTGAACGGGACGATCGACCAAATTAATTCGCACATGTAAAAGTACAGTATTTTACATACAG